CGGATTACTAATCTCATTTACCATGAGAATTTTCCTGCATGGGGACATCTTGATTTCATCTGGGGCCTTGATGCAACTGAAAAAATGTATCTGAAGATCATTGAACTACTAAAAAAATATGCTTAAAGTGCCACAGAGGGATTTAATTCATGCAGTAGAAACCCTAGAGATTTCTATTTAGCAGTTGATTATTGGTATAGGGATAGGTATAGAGGTTTACAAACTGCTGACAATTGGTTTGCAATATTTTTACATTGCTTCTCTATGGTGTTACACTATTTTGATGATTGCAGTCTTTCTGAAGAAGCTGAGGTGCATGTAAATGACCACTGAAAATATAAATATATTAGATAGAACACTTCAGGTATCCCTTACTTTGGAAGATTTCAGTTTTTATATGACTGATTTTTCGAAGATTTCATTTTCTGTTTCCTTGTTGATCTGCACTACATATTTCACTTGAGACAAAGGTGATTTCCCCTGAAAACCTAAAATGGAAGATAATTTCTCTGTTTACTGAACTTTGCTGAAGTTGAATCATTTGTCATCCTGATAGAGTTTCTCCTGTTTTCTTCTCCTCACAATACCAACAGCAGCAAGGAAGACCCAAAAGATTTTCATCTGTAAAACTACCCTGGCATCTAAGCAGACAGGAGTGTCTTACTCCAAAGAGCACAACTCTCTTCATGTTCATAACCTGGCAACTGGGGATTGAGAAGATGCAGGCATAGCAGCAAACTGTACATAAAAGACAACTGCATCCATCTCAATTAATATTCCTGGCACTATAAGAAAAAAAGTTGAAGTTCTTCTAGGTCCTCAGCTCATCATGCCAGTGCTCACCTATGAGGCTATTCCAGGGGGTACAGATCACACCAAAGGGTTCATCATTACAGGGCAAGTCAGGAGAGCTCAGGCACTGTGGATGTTTCTGGGTGGGGGCATAAGCCCAGATTCCTCAAACTTGTGGAAAGCGAAATCCATTTGATAATAATCTGGGAGATAGAGAGCAACATAAACAAAACATGTTTGTCTCTCGTAATATAGAAAACACATGCAAAGGCCACTTTCATGCAAACATATGCAAATGACACACCTCCTCTAGCAACCTGTGGTACCACTGGGAACTGAGTTCTCAACTTCTGGGCACATTTGCAGTCCAAGACACAGAGTGGCTTCTCTTGCCCACACCACATCATTTATAAATCCCAGGAAGCTCACAACAGACCTGGCCCAGCTCCATAAAGCAGCAGGACAGAGCCAGCACAACAAACACTGCACCCATACAGACACGGGCTCAGGTGTGAAGGGAGGGGGAGCAGGATCCACAATTCAGCTTAGGCAAAGAGGAAGGGAGGGCCTCTCTGAAGAATGTGGCAGCAAAGCCCTTCACTCTGCTCTCATTCCCACTTCTGCAGCACCACCCAGCATTCAGACAAGGTGCACAGGATGAACCTGACAGTGTGACTGCACAAAATGTACAGTGGAAGGGAGGGAAGAAAACAGAATCACAGCACTAAACTCCTTTCACCCTCTCTGCAGAGTCAGGGCTAACCATGAACTAGGACTGATTCTACAAACATGAATCAGAGCACACAGCTCTGCCCAACCAAATAAAGCAGTGGGGACACAGTGCCCTTTCAGCGAGGTGAAGGAAGATGGATCTAGCAGTTCCTCAAAATCTGTTTGTGAGGACACTGGTCTGAAATTAATTACTCATCCTGGAAGCAGTCACCAAGGGCTTCCCCAGGACATCAAGTTCAAACTTTTCTAGAGCATCTTCCCCTGCTGTACAACAACCAGCCACAGGCACACCCTGCAAAAAGTTACAGGGAAACAGGTCATCAATATGATCAATACCTGCCAAGCAAGTTGAGCAGAATGACAAGAAGAAGGTCATCCAAACTTACCACGGAGTGAGTAACTGCTGCATTGGCTGAAAATTCCCAGCAGAGATCTAGGCCAGCTCAGAGCACTGCCCTGCCTCCTCAGAAACCCAGCCTACCTCCTCTGCTGCAGAGGAGGAAGGCCCTCCTGTCCAACATGCCCCTTCCCAGGTACAACAGCCCCACACTGGCAACCACGTCTTCAGTTTAATTTACGTCTTTTTGCTCCTTACCCACAGCTTCCTCCACAACGGTGCTAACATTGCTTCCCCTCAGTTAGCCCTTCCCGAAGTTCAGGAGAGTCCAGATGAGGTGTGCATACCCTCGGGTACCCGAGCAGATAAAGACTGACTGAGTGATGGGCCGGGCTGACAGCGGGACCGTGGGAAATGCGGAGGGGACGCATCCCAGGCGCGCACGGACCATGCTGCACCCCAGCACCCCCTGCCCCCGCCCGGCACCCCCGCTGCCCCCGCCCGGCAGCCGCGCGGAGCGGGATGCGGCCCCGCCGCCCGCCCGCCCGGCGCAGGCTCCTCCCTTCGCCCCGCACCGTGACACGGCCCGGCTGCGGCGGCGCACGGCGCTCGGTCCCGCCGCCACCTGCCCGGGGCTCCGCGGCGCGGCGCGGCGAGGCGGCAGGAGGAAGAAGAGAAAGAGAAGCTGGAGGAGGCCCAGGCCGGACCGGCGCTCCTGCCGCCCCCCGCCCGCGCTTTGTCCACGGCAGCGGCCGCGCCGCCGCTCGCACGGATGCGCGCCCCGGTAAGCAGCATCGCCCTTCCCGCCGCAGCGGGAGCAGCGCGGAGCCGGCGGGGCGCTGCCTCCGCCTCCGATCGCTGCTCTGCGCCAGCGGCCCCTGCGGGCAGGGCGAGAAGGGGCCGCTACCCCTTCCGGGGCCGTGGCGGCGGGGGCCGGCACCAGCTCCATCCGCTCTTCGGCCCGGCCGGCGTCCCGTCCCCGCCCCGGTCAGGTGCGCGACCCGCTCGGCCGCTCGGCTGCAGCGCTCCCGCGGGCGCGGCGGGGCTCGGGCCGGGCGGGGGCACCGCGGGCCGGGCGGGGGGCGGCGGGCAGCGAGCCCGGCCGGCTGAGCCTGCTGACTCCACTGCGACCACGCGAGGAGCTGGTGGCAGTGTGCTGGGGAGTCCGGGATGTCACAGTGTGCCAGAGACAAATCAAACTGGTAACAGTAGTCGGGTTTTAAATGGTTTCCATACATATGTGGAAGGTGATCATCGGAACAGAAAGTGAAAGAATCTAAACCAGTAGAAGTTGTGGTTGCTGAGCATCTGTAACTCTCAGATGAGCTTTTTCTCTTCATGTGCTTGGTTTTGTACCTGCCTCCTTTTGACCTCTGTAGGATCTCAGGTGTCCTTCTGAACTGCCCTGAGGAATGTACCTCGCTCTTCCACATGCTGCTGCTTTCGAAAGGATGCAAAAAAATCTCTTCTGGGGGAATTCCTCTTGATCTGGAATTCTTTGTGTTTAATATGCACATGGTTCTGAATGTTTGAGAAGTCATGGGCAGGAAAACCCCCACCTTTTACTGAGAATGGGAAGTAGTGAGATTATGAGATCTTGGAGACACGGTACTTCCCAGGACATTAATTCCCCAGGTGAAGACCAGCTTTGAGAAAGTTCTCTCTTCACAGAAGTGAGGTTTCTCTTCATTGCAGGCTTAAGTGGATTACTATCCAAAACTGTGGTTAGCATATATTGATGACTTGCCTTAGACAACCAAGTCCTAGAAAATATAGACCCAGTACTTCATTGAATATTTCCAGGAGAATGGAGCCCAGGTTTGTTGTGGGTGCTGTTCAGGCAATGTACTCTGAAACAGATGAGTTTTCTCATGTACTAAATGCATAGCAGCTGGTATATTGCATATTTGGATAGCTAAACCATAGGCCAGTGTTTACAAGTCTGGAGTTTCATAGATCACAGGATATTGTAGGAATGCAGGAAGCATTCATCCCAAATTCTGCATAATTCTGTAGGTACCAGTTTCACAGTTGGGGTCCTCGTGGGTGTGTGTGTGTACAGTATTTTAAATGGCTGTAAGTGCAGGGGGGTATTTTGTAGCATTATGTTTAAAAATTGTTTTGATCAGTCCTGTCGTCATTTCTATTACTTGATACTGCTCTGCAGATGCTGTGAAGGCATTTCTTGTGTGGTTTTCTTTATATGCATTAAACATGCTGAAGGTTAGGCCTTCAGGCTTTTCCTGGAAGTTAATCACCAAGATCAGGAAGAGTATAGCTCAAGGTGAGGGATGTTGTAAAATCTTCAAAAGCTGAGGGAATAGAAAGGTGACTTGTGCATGAAGGTACTGAAAAAATATTGTAGAAAGCTAAGTATTTGGTCTCTGTTTGCTGGACATGTATGAATAATGTTTTTTCCTGGTTTTATCAGAATCCTGAAATTTTATTTCTGCACAAAAGGTTACACTTCCAATTTGTGTTCTGAAAATTAGTTTTCTGTCGTGTAAAGGAAGTCTTTGTCTATACAATTTTAATAAAATTAGAACATTTAGATTGTCATTCCAGGATATATATTTTCTGGTCATGCTTTCCATTATTAATAGAACTATTAGTCCATGAGAGAAAATGATCTTGTTTATGCAGTTCCTGAACAATCCATGTGCAGTGGCTTAGTACTGTTGTTGCAAAGAAATTCCTATTACAAAAATCCAGCCTTTTCAATCTTGCCCAGCTGCTGATGCCTCTCAGAAGTGCTGTGAGTCAGGCAGCTCCTCAGACACAACCTGCTGCCCACCACTTCCTACTGGCAGCTCTGGATGAGTCACAGCTCAGCACACAACATACGGAATCGCGTTATGGAAGCTGTGGGCTCTCCACATAATCAACGTAGGAAGTATCTTCCTCTTTTAGCATCTCTGAACCTTTAGCATCTCTGAACTGCTGTCAAAAAGCCTTCAGAGACATCTACTGCTCTATGTTGTTATAAAAAGGAGCTTGTATAGGCTGCCAAGATCAATGGGCTCATCCTGAGGGGTAAAGCAAATAATAGGAAAGGCTCGAAGGTAGACTGTGCATAGCTTCACTGGGATGAAGCTGTTGGCCTGCAAGGGTACAAAATGTTAACCAGAATCATTGTGCTCGGCTTTGATATTCTGGATAATTCAGCTGACTGTCAAGCAGCCCTGTGAGCTGACTGTGTTACAGCCACTGCTGCTATAAAATGTGTGCTTACCACTGTCAATCTTAGAAACTTAAGTAAGAGAAATTAAATATTGTAGCTATCCAAGTAGGACAAGCAGTCTTAAACTCACAGAATTCTTCTTATAGAGCCAGACATTCATCTTGTTTTTCCTGTGTTGTTCTTTGCTCATAGCATGCTACACCCTGAATCATCTAGAACAGGGGAGAAGGTCAAAGATTTCCTTACGAAATCAGCTGTGTTATTTTAATATAAGCATTGTACAACAGACTCATCCCAGATTGAATGGTAGTTGTTCATACTGATTGATCACACTTCATCCTCTAGGTAATCTCACTATCCATTTCTTACCTGACCTTTCCTTACTTAATCATTTGTGTACAAAATAGTCAGAATCCTTTGAACTAATGCCTCAAATCATTTTCTATAAATTTGAGGCCACAAAAACAAACTTCATTCTTTATAGGCTCTTTAATAGGCTTCAAATAAACTCTGAATTTATTTGTCATAATTGTCAAATAAATTTGGCTTGCCTTTATTTTGTCCCCTATATTTTGAGCTATAGAAAGTAAGACAGCATAAAAATTTGTCATCTGATAGAAACAAAAATTGATTGTTGCAACCAGTTACTCACTCAGTCAACAAGTGTCCTTATTAGACGCTATGGAGTCTGAAAGTGTTCTAAAATTAGGCAAGATATATTTTGCCAGAAAAAAATCATTGCATTTTATAGGAAGATCCAGAAGCTTCTTAACCCCTCTAGCCTAGGGAACCTTGTCCCTGAGAGAAATAGGGATACAGACAGACAAAATCTGTGAAAGCTAAGGCTTTGCAAGGAATCATGCCTTCTTTGATTCTTGGAAGTCTAAGTTGAAGGCCTCTGTGCTGATTTTAACCTCTCATTTGTTTCCCTTAGCAACACAGCTTCTTGTCTTCATGGTGGAAGTTAGTTTTATCACTGGTGTAATGGATTGCAAGTATCTCCTTTTTTTTCAGAATTTCAGTTGAATCATCAAAGAACAAATTGTATAAAACCAGCTCTTTCTTGTACTTCTGTCCTCTTCTGGGTTACTGTGCCCTGGTGCAATTTTCTTGGGGGATTGTTGTGGATTTCCCAAAGGAAGGAAATGGCACTGTTTTTCTACATCATGTCTACAACATCCTTTTAGTGGGTCACTGGAAAGAAGCTGTTCTGTGTTGCATAAGTATATTTCACTGACTGCCTAAGAAAGATTTTGCTTTTAATCCCAGACATTCTACCATGGTTGATATTTATCCATTATGTTGAACATTCTTTTTTGCTAAAACTGAAGGGTGTCACTAAAGAAAGGAATGGGGAGGAGGGATTATGTTTTGTTGCAACACAGGAGTCCACGAGAGAAAGAACTGTCAATTTGCAAATGCATTTTGAAAACATTCTCTTAAAAGTCACTGATATCATTGTAGACAGAGCTTGTTAATAAATCTGGTATTGACACGTCATCTGTGTGTACAGCTCAAACAGATAGGGTTACGTTGTAGTAGCACAACCATACTAGATGTTGATTTCAAAACAGCCTGCATAAAAATGAATGTGAAAATAGCTGACAGAGGTCTTTGTGCTTTGAAGCAATAGGAGAGAGAAGCCTCTAGGCTCTGCGTCCACAGACTCTGTGCAGTCAGGTTCTTGCACGTGCCATGCTGGATATTATCTGCATAATGTAGTGATTTATCTGAGTCTTAGCAGAACTAGTAGCAATCTAATCTATTAACATAGCTTTTTGATGCACTAATGTTTGTATCTGTGCCAAGAGGAATGCTGTCCTTAGAAAACAGGTAGTCAATGATATTCAAGTAACTACGCTAATTACAGTAGTCCAAATATTTGCAGAACAATGATGACAGTCTTCAGACAATTAATTCAAACTTCATTTTGAAGTGGGAAAACAGACCCTTGTGTCACCCATTCTTTCTTTAGATGAAAATAGAGCTCAGTTTTGTGATGCAAGGTGCAGAACTGAATGGCCTAGGCATAAGCAAGGTTTGGGTTTGGCAGACCTGTGCATCTGGAGGATCTTCCGTGCCTGTGATTTCTCCCTCTCAGCACCCAAGCAGGTGAAGGTGCTACTGTCGATCCTCCACTGACACGGTTTGCAGAGGCCTCTGGGCAGTGTGCTGGGGCATGGGAGGCACTGGTTCTTCACCAGTGAGAAAGAGGAAATGTTCATGACCCTATTCTAGGAGAGATAGTTGCATAGCTCAGCAGCAGCTTCTGGGAGTTAGTGGTGCCTGAGAGGTGGTCTTGGAACTGCTGTTTCAATGGAGCTGTGGAGCTGAGGAGCACTGTCAAACTATGAGCTATTGCTGAGATGGGCTTTTCTGGAGCTGAGCTTAGTAGCAGCTGTAAAGAGCAACTTCTCCATTGAAAGGCACAGGGTTTTCAGGACCTGGCTCCCTGCAGTGATTCCTTTCATTGAAAGGCCATTCTGTTGAATTTTGTTGATTGGGTATTTCCTCTTCACAAGAGAATCGTCTTGCCATGACATTCAGTGCTTTGTTGGGCTTTTTTCCAGAAGAGACTACTTACTATACCAGCTGAATCACTTGCTGTGATAATGAATGCTTGTTACAAAAAGCATGTTGACAAATGAACATGCTGTTTCATTTTGGAGAGAACCAACAGAAGGCAGTTTGCTATTTAGGCTGGTATTTAGCATATTTATATATCAAACCTAAGTGTACGTGTATAAATAATCATGTGCTGTGCCAATACATGGCCTGGTATTTCAAAAATAGCTGAATGAGATAGGTGCCTGTATTTCTAAGCTGTTTTTCAACAAATTCACTTGAGTATCCATGTCCAAGTACAGAATTTTAAGTATCTGCTTCATGGGTGAGACTTAGTGGAATGGTCCCTTAACTTCATCTGGCAATCACTGGTGTGACCTATTTAAAGTTTGCTGAGACAACTTAGTTCCACTATGGGTAATTGAAAGGTGTTATTTGCACTTGCTAATTTGGCTGTTTTAATGAGAACTGACCTCCTTATGGTTTGAGATGCATCTTTATTCTAGGATTCTGTAATCATCACACTTCCTAGTATAGTAACATGAAGTATGATTGTGTTAACTTCTCATGGCAATATTAAAGGAATTTTTTCTTGCTATGGGATGGCTGCAGAACAGTTCTCTCAAGAACAGATTCAAATAGTAGTACGATACTACATATTAGCTTCTGTATTAGCAAATATTTCTACGTGTACTTTAAGAATCCTGATCGCAGTGGAGTGAAGTGAATAGTTTTGGTGGAAACCTCATCTAGGCTTTACATTCCACAAAAATATCAGACAAAAGGATGAGTATTTCTGGAATAATCCACCATTAAAAATATTCAGAGAGTAAATAATTGCATAGATTACTTTTAACCTAATCTTTGAATGAAGAAAGTGCTTTGGAAAATTTTGTCAGTGATCTGTTTAACAAAGATTTTTTTCTGTAAGACAAATAGTCAAAATATTGATAAATGATAATGCAGTGGAGATCATGTTATGATTAATTCCCTTGAAATTTGAAAGTGTGTTACAATGAGGAAACTAATGTTACAAAGTTACTGATGTTAAGGGAAAACTATATACTAACTAATTTCATGCAAGTTACTCAGCTACTTATTTAAAAATCCGAAAAGCTCATTCAACATTTCTTGTAACCTCTAGAGAAGGATCAACATTGCTTGTTCAACCTCTTCTGAAGAGCTGAAGCCTGCAGACGATGCCAAGGAGCAGAAATTCGATGCTGGCACTGTGCAGTCAGTCTCTGGGAGCTTCTCGGTGTCCTCTCTGGAGGGCTGGAGCAGCGCAGCTCCATTGGGGCGCCGCAGTGCCTGTGGCATCCTTGCTCCCGCTTGGTGTCCCTGGCCTGGCTGGGACAGGCATCCCCAGGGCCAGCTTCGACCAGGGGAGGACATTGGTGCCAGCAGGGCACAGAGACACGCTCCCCGTGCCAGGCCGTGCCCTGGCTGCGCTGCAGGCCCTGCAAGCACCACTGCAGCTCCGGCAGCAGCGCAGCCACGCTGTGCAGCCACGTGTGTCACCTCTCGCTGTCACACACCTTCTGCAGCGGGGAGAGCCAGCAGGGCCATGCCTGAGGGGCTCTGAGCACCCCAGGGTGCCTCCTTTGGCCACAGGCCCCAGCCTGGCACTGCTGAAACGCCGGCGTGCAGCATCGGTGAGGGCGCGGCAGAGGCGCGGCGAGTGGTGATGCTGCAGCTCGCCGAGGGTTTGTGTGTGCCTGCACTCCCCAGATCTCCTCACACGCTCCCAGCCCATGAGCCTGCTCCTGAGGTACTTGATACGCTTCTTCTGGCTTCATGTACCACTCTTGGCATATACTTTCACTTAAAATTGCTCCCCCTGCTTTTCATTGCCCTGGTGCTTGGTACCGTGCTTGTTAGCCTGAACAGAAGGAATCACTTTCAATGCCATTTAAAATGCTGTTTTACTCAGTTGGCTCGGTTTTCTTGTGGCTGAATGGCTTTGATCTAATAAACCTGGATTTTTCAAGGATTAATACATAGGATAATAAGATGGGACATATGGGAAAACAAATGCTTTTTGAGGAGGAAATGGGATTTGGTGAGAAGTGCTATACCAAATGAAATCAAGTTTCTTAACCATTGAATTGATGTTAGATTGTTATTATTATTATCTGGTAATGACTATCAGAAAACTCATAATTAGAAAAAAACTTAATTTGAATGTTAAAATCCTGGCATTTCTCCTCAAACAAACATTACCTAAGTCCATGCAAGTTAACTGGAATGCCTGAAATAGTGAAGTAGAAAAATGCATCTTTACTCTTAGAATTTTAAGCACTTCAGAGTATAATAGATTAAGATAGCTCCAAGCTAGCATTGGTATTTATCCCCTGTGGTTGAGGTTGGAGTGTAGTTCACTGTATTAGCAAAGTATATTTGAGTATAATTAGTTTCAGCTATACAGAGAGATTTGGTATTTGAATTTATCTTTACTCTTGTAAAGTGAAATACAAGTATATTTATGGAAAACACAGTCACTTGCCAGAACTGGGCAATTTTTGTAGGAACTATACAAACTCTTAGGGTGCCCTTTCAAAGCCAGCTCATATTGATTTAGCACAGTACTGCTTCAAAAAGTGACAAACATCTCTGCTTTGCTGGCTTCGTGGTTCCGCCTGCTCCTTTGCATTTTGATTTTGAGAAGGAAGTAAAAGTCCATTTAATTTTAATTTGGATCAGCTACAAGTTGCCTTGAAGTCAAGGAGGCAGTGAGAGTACGAAGAAGGGTGGGGAGGGTGTGGGGAGCCCCTTGGCAGTGCCGTGCCCTTGGAGCTGAAGGTGCCTGTGAAGCTGAGCCATGAGGAGCATTATGCACAGAGCATTCCAGGCAGCTGGCAGAAATGCCTCTGGTGGTGCTTTTAGTAAAGCTTAACTCTCAGCATTTTAATCATTCATAACTCTGCCAGTGTGTCCACATGTTAAGGATAATATATTGGAGTGCAGTCATAAGTCAGTCCACATTCTTTATAGGAGTTCTTTTTCCTTAAGTTACACTGCCAGCTGTAATAGTGAATATATTTGAAATCTTATTTTTGTAAAATGGATACAAATGCATGTTAATATTTCTTCCTTATTTACAGTGTCTCGTTTAGTCTGTTCCTGAAACTAAATTTAAAATGCGTTTCTTCTTTTATTTGCAGATATTCTTCTGCTAAACTCTTGCACTGTGACATGTCTTTTATGTTTTTTGCAGTTTCTTCATCTTTTCTAGGCTCTGACACAATTTTGAGGAAGTGTGAGTTTCTGCTATTACCAGATGTCTACTCTTTAAAATACCTGGTATTACACTTAAAAAAAATATATTAACTAATGCTTATTTAGTTTAAAAGTTCACTGAATTATGTTTATAACTTTAATATTCTTAGAGCAAGTCAAGTTGAGAAATATTTGCAAGTAAAGGGTTCCATGATGTCTTCCTGTGGCATTTCCAAAGAGATTTTGACGGGGGAACACCATAGGCCTCTTTAACAAAGACCTCTTTGGGAGTACTGGCCCCAAAAAAACAACCCAAACCCCTAATTCATGACTCTTGTGTTTGCCACTTTCTGCAGTAACTTTTCTGCACTTACCCAGCAGCTAGATTGAAAGGTCTCCAAGGAGTGGTAACAGCTAAAGAAGCATTTGATCCGTGTTCCATGTCTTAAGTGGGAAGCATCTCATGAGCCTGGTCCTAAATGTGCATTTCCGCTCTAAGCTTTGCAGAAGGACTGTTAAGGGAGAAAGCCTTGAAAGCAGAATGAGAAACTGCTACAGAAAAGCTTTCTTGCCAGAAGCTGCTAAATGAAATAAGAAATTGGAGAGAAATACATTTCTGCACCTTTACTTTTGAACAATTTTTTATATATACATGAGTGACTAGAACATTTTGCAGTTTGCTATACTTGGATACACACTTTGGACCAAATCCATTCTTCCATTCAAGTATTTTAGCTGTCCCAGATGCTTCTAGGGGAAATAAACTAAAAATTTACAAGTGGTGGGTAAGTGAATGGATAAATATTTATACAATATGTGCTTTTTAGGTATTTTTTTGTTTGGTAGGTTGGTTTGGTTTTTGTTCCTGAGTTCCACAAAGCATATGAATACAGAGTCTCTCATTGAAGATTTTATTTTTGTGTAGAATCTGGGCTACAGGGCCAGAAGGCTGACACGAATTGCACTGGGCAAGATTTTAGCTCACTCCTTTCACAGCCTTCCACATCTACAGTGCTTCAGTGAAGAAGGGTTTTGGGTGGAACAAGCCCTAAAGCAGAACGTTTCTTGGAGTAGGCTAAAGCAAAAATATTTCCTTATCATTGTCCCATGGGGCCTTTCTACAGTTTGTGAATAGGCAATGAATAGGCTCTCCTGCCAAGGTGATAATTTACACCAGAGCTCCATGTCCATAAAATTAAATGGTTTAGAGAACTATTTTTATTAGCACTGCAACCACAACTAAGGTTGTTTTCTCAGATGTATAAGCCTGGCTTTTATTTTTTGGTTACAAATTGTGCTAGCAGTTTGAATACCTTAAAATACCTTAGCAAACCCTCTTGAAAATGAATTGCAATAATGGTTAAAATTAAAGACTGATCTAATAGATAGTATTGCTTTTTGGAAGAAAAACGAGGAAAAGATCAATACTTGAGAAATACAGCCATCTGAAAACACATTAGAGTTGTTTTCTTCAACCCAGAGTCCTCTGGCCTCTAGAGAGAGGTGTGCCGAGAAAACATCTTTGCTGAACCCACTCTATGCTTTTACAAAAGCATGCATGTTTGCATTTTTTGCAACATTTTTTACATGTTTATTGCAACATATAAAGAGCTTTTGACATGCAAGATCAAATCTGTTTACAATGAGCACACCAAAGTGAAAAAAACACATTAAAAACTTAATTTTCACATTTCCTGTGTAATTTGAGTATTTAATTCCCCTCTCAGAGTTGGGTTTTCTTGTTTGGTTTAGTTTCCTTTTGATTTTTTTTTTTTTTTCATGACCACAACATCTACATTTTTTCTCTTAACTTGTTCAAAGCTGTGCAAAGAGGAATTTTTATTAGTTGACCCATCAGAATTGATTGTATTTTGAGTGTTGAAATCAGCAAGCTGTGCAGGTGGAACACATGCTGTTTGAAGTATTTTTTCTGCTTTATATTACTGATACAAATTTGTTTATAAAGTTTTATTTCTCTTACTCTTAGCAGAAAATAAAGATACCAGATTCATATTTTTATAAATGTGTAAGCATATGCTCGAGGAAGCACAGATTCTGTAATAAGTCCTAGAAGTCCTCAAACTTCTGTGTTTTTCACTTTATACTTGAAAGTTAGGGGGGTTTTAAGTTGATATAAAAGTTGTAAAAATAATTTATTGTGTTCAAATATGCTGAAATATCCTTAGTACAGGTCAACTAGTCCACAACTGCACTGTAAGCCGTTATGCATTCCCAATTTAAATTCTAGACATCTGGTAAGTCTTAAATTATTATTAAATATGTAAGTACTGTGCCACCAAAGTAAGAGTGAGTGCTGGCATGCAAACTTACGTGACATTTGAATATTTTTCTAATCTGAATGACTGATTTTTTCCAGCACACGACCACAATCAACATATCTATATTTCAGTTTCCCTTGGGCTATTAAACCCTGAGACATCTGGTGGCAAATATTGAGCTCAGGACTGATACTGCCCTTTTTGTCAGATGGAGACTGTGGAGGAAAAGAGCAATCTCCTTGGTTTACAGGCAGACAACAACATGGAGCAACCATTCACTATCAGCTCATTGGTATGTAATACAGAAAAATGTTTCAATGACTGAGCAAATTCCCTTCCAATTAGGAGAAATTTCAAGAGAGCTGTTTAGCAGGGGTGGCTGTCAGCTCCATGGGTCTCTTCCTTCATGCTGCCTGAATTTTGGAATTTATTGTATTTCTGTATGTGTGATTTATGGGGTGTCAGCAACCAGATTTTTAAGAAGTTGAAATGAGCATTTTGACTAGAAAGAGTAAAAAATTTCACCAAAGTAAGAGGAAACAACCTCCACAAGCCATTTATTTATTTATTTATTACCAGGAAGGTAATGACCATAATAAGCAGCTATGGTTCTTCTTTAGTAATTAGTTCAAACTTATTTTTTAACTGCCTCATTTAAAACTGGAAATGAAGATTTGAAATTAACTGTTGACTGACTAGAGCAGCTTATTGGTCTTTGTTTCCTGAACTATTTCTAGAAGTCAAATGCTATCGTGTAATAGGAGTCTGAGTATTCAGGACATCCATCAAATTATTTCAGTAATTTAAGACAGAACCTTGTAGAATTCATGTGTGGGTGTTTTTTAAGAGGACACACTTTATACTGCCTTTGATAATTTCTACAACAATTTACTTAATTTTTTTCCCCTACAGGTGTTTTCCTAATTTTATCCTTTTTTGTTGTTTTCAGAGGGAATAAGATCACTTTTCTTTTTGATCACAATTTACTTGCAATTGAGAAATATGTTGGAATGTTTCAACTGTAGCTAGAGGTGGGAAACCAAGGTCTATTTTCAGAAAAGGCTAGCTGAATATTTCCCTTGAGCTTCTTTACTGAGACCACTTCCTGAAAGTGAAATGGAATATTCTCTTCGCTAATGAGACTGATCTTTTTCAGAAAAAGCTGGTAGCGATTCCTGACCACACAGACATCTCTGTGACCCCAGAGGAGAGAGTTCGTGCCTTAAGCAAGCTTGGCAGCAATATCACCATCAATGAGGACATCACTCCGCGGCGCTACTTCCGATCCGGCGTGGAGATGGAGCGCATGGCGTCGGTGTACATGCAGGAGGGGAACCTGGAGAACGCCTTTGTGTTTTATAACAAGTTCATAACGTAAGCAAGCAGCTGTAGCCATTACAGCTTATGGTTCTGAGTAAAGTGAAACAGAGAGCTGCACTGAGAACCCCTTTAGATAAGAAGAAATGTGTTTAATGTGTTCTTGGAGACATTTTACACTGAGCATGGGCTTTGTTAAAACTTCCTGCCACCTTTTCATGGGCTTGTCCTATCTATGTGTGAGCTACCAAGCATCAATTAACCTAACATACAGAGGTTTGAGTTTACTCTGCCAGGTCATACCATGAGCACTGTTGCCCCCAGATTATTCTTTCTATGTCAGCATGTTGGTCAAACATAATTTTTGACATTAAAAGCAATGTTTAAATAAGATTTCTAAGCCTTTAGTAGTTATGTCCTATGAGCATCTGCTGATCTTAAGGATGGTAGTATTGCACAATACTTAAAAAGCATAAAAAAAGGGTTTTCTTGTTTCCATTTTGCTTTTATTCCCCCAAAAGGATTAAGTTTAATTTTTTTGTTTCTTACAGGAATAAATGCAAAATCTACAATGTATGTTAATGATTATCCTTATTACCACAAAAGAACAAATCTGGCCAGCATTCATTACAACTCTCAAAATAGACAGCTGAAAAATATATCACTGGCAGATTTAAACTTTTAACCTAGCTAGTTTCACTGTAGGATTGATTGGTTTGTTTTATTACTTTGGAAAGATTTGGGGGTTTTTTAATGTGCATATTTTAAAATTTTTGCAAAGGAAACATCCCTCCTCTCCCCTTATTTTCCTCATACTCTGAAAACTAGACCAATCCTTTCTTAGCCCACCTGTTTTCAAATGTATCTACCTCTATAAAAAGAAGGTCTGGAGGTGAATATTGTGCAAATTACTGAAAGAATGATAGCAGCTGTACATTACAAACTCTTTGCAGCTGAGTCTTGCCATAACTTATCTGTGTAGCTTGGTCTGGTCAAAATACCTGCTTTAGTGATAGTCAGTGTATCACTCTTCTCCTCCATTGGAGAATCATCATTTTGGCTAAGAAAAAAGAGAGTAGAAATAGGATTTACTAGCACTGACTAGAGTGGAGGGTGTTTCTAAGGGATATTTTTAGATGCTGGCTGCTAGCTAGCCCTTTTTTTTAACCTAACCCAGTACTAATGGAAACCAGAATATATCAGATGTGGAAAATAATCTCCTGTCCTTATTCTGTGTGTCCCATACAGGTCCATACCATAATGTGTTAGTTTAAACATGTGTGTAGAACCCTGGTCCAAGTCATCTGGAATTCAGTGTTTAACAGTTATATGAAACTGATTTTTCTGCCAATATGAAAGCTATTATGGGTATTCTTCTGACTAAACACATGCATGTTTAATTTTCTAGGTTGTTTGTAGAAAAGCTGCCCAGTCACCGAGACTATCACCAATGTGCAGTACCAGAGAAACAAGATATCATTAAGGTAGGGTTATGGTTTCCTGGTCTTTATGAAATGTTTTGCTGAGAAGCTCTTAATTTTTCCCAGCACATATAAGCCATAGCTTCTTTTTCCCCAGAGCACCCATAGCAGCCATCACAGCTTCAATTTCTGATACTTTTCTCCACTATTCATACATGTTTTATTTTGGAAATTAAATTATTGATCTAAAATGTGAATGACAATGGTCTCAGTAAGTTGGCAGGTTGTTGGGAGCCCAGGTACATCTTTTTCTGAAAGTTTGCATATTAAAAATGCACATGTTAACATTACTTAGTTTGATTCTGGTCCAGTTATGTGAATGGATAATTGTCCAAACTGACTATTGCAAACAGGAGAAATGTGTGGCAATACTGATGCCTGTGCAGTATTCGCTTACTCTGCTAAATAAGTATATTTTTTCTTTCTTTATTACCAAATATATATTTACTTAGTTTTTACCAGATTTTTTCCCCTCACTTCCATACAAAATAGTTTTACTTTTGTTTTTTTTCCTCTCTAGAAAATAAATCCTAAATAAATTTTAAGTATAGCCTTATACTGAAGTTAAAACAGCTGGAACAGTGAGAATTGCTTGTAGGACCATGAGTATCTCTTGGTCCATGCCCCGTGTTTGCTTGCTTTCTCTACTGTTAAACTTAATGTTTTACTCAGAACAAAAACAATTCATGCCAAAGTTCTGACTGTGGTCCACTAGGAGAACATCTGTTGGAAATGGGCATATTCAAACATATTTCTGACCGGGAAGTTTCAGAGAAAAATGCAATGATTCTACCTGAAACTCTCTAAGTTTGCCTTAGCATTTTTTTACAATTTACACCTACAACAAAAACATTAGTCATCACACACCTACTAAGCAAGACAGAGATAACAGACTCCTAGTAAAAGGGCTAATCTTTACTTGAGATAAGAAGCAGCCATGTCACATATTTCACTAATGTAAATCAATATATTTATTGAAACCAATGTGCTATAGAAATTCTCAAACTGATGATATAGTGTGTATTTCCTCTTTTGCTTTTTTTTTTCCTGTGAGAAGAGCAGTTTTTTTTCTGTTTTGTATTTTTTTTAAATCTGTGTTACAGTTGAGTTTGTTTTCTAGGTGGCTCTTTTAAAAAGTGAAAAGTAAACTTATTTATCTTTTTCCCCATCCTATTTCAAAGAAATTGAAGGAGGTTGCATTTCCACGGACAGACGAACTGAAAAGAGATCTTTTAAAAAAATATAACTTAGAATATCAAGAATACATGCAACACAAAGTAAGTTTTATGTGATTATTAAATGTTGACATGAATATTTTTCTGTCATATAAAAATTAAAAATTAAGCAGTAAAATGCCAGTTTTATGAGAACCTAATAGTTTCCTGAGCTACTTAGAAATGACTTTTCATTTCTTCTTCAGAATCAGCTGGTCATTTGAATTTAAAAATAAGTAATGCAAATGTGCTAGGAAATACATCTGCTGCTGTATTTACTTAATTACTGTCTACAAAAATCCAAATAGGTTTTTTGTATGCTCTGAATCTGCCTTTTAAAGAAAATAAAATTGATACTCATGTCAGTAAGTGGAAAAGATTCCTTGGCTCCAAATGTGCTTTAATTTGAATTGCGATTGAAGCCACTGAAAACAGGATCTCTAGCTTAAAAACTTGTCTTGGAAAAAGCATCTGAGAAACATCATTTTTGTTCCATGCATCAGTGCTATGTTTTCCATCCTACCTTTGGGGATACAGTTGTATTTTCCAGTTCAGTAACCAGGTTCCAAAAGAGTTCATTTTTAATGACAGGATTTTATGGTTTTATTGAACTGTTAGATTGCTCCTTTCCTACCATTTGTCATAGCATTTTTGGTATTCTGAGAATGTCCCTATGTTGTGTATGTTTCAGAACAAATGTAAAACTGAATTTCTGAAGAAACTGGAGCACCAAAAGCTCATAGAGGCAGAGAAGAAACGAATTGCACATATGCGGCAGCAGCAGCTCGAATCGGAGCAGTTTCAGTTCTTTGAGGATCAGCTTAAGAAGCAAGAACTAGCTCGAGATCAGAAGATCAAAGAGAGTGTGGTTATGTCTGAACAGATAGATGGAAGTATGCTGTCTTGTGTTTCTGTACCAGAGAACAGCTCCTTATCTGCGGCACTGCTGGAGAAAAAAGAGAGGCGCGGCACCTCTGGCTGTGCTGGGCACTCGCCACCAGTGGAACGGGTCTTGAAGCCAGCAGCTACTCTAAGTGCTGTTCAAAGTAAGTGCAGACATTTCTTTTATCCCCTGTTTTATTTTATCTACCTGCATACGTCTTTATTCACTGTGAGGCTGCCCATACTGAAATAACCATGAACAGGTTTGTGCAAACACAGCAATTCCTTATAGTTTCTTCATTTCTTCAAGAGGGAGGTGCACAGTTTCACATTTTCCAGTTGAGTACCAATGGATGGATATAGAGACTGAGATTTAGTGTTCCTGTGAAATGAAGTCTGAATCTTGCCATGGGCTTCAAGGGAACAGAAACAGAAACCTGCAGTGGTTCCCCCTGGAAAGCCCTGGCCTGGGAGATGGCGGCAGCTCACTGTCATCTCAGGGACAGGCTAGTGAGCATATCTTGTGGCTTGGTGACTTCAGTTTAGATGAAGTGCTTGTCCTGTAGATTAATTCTCATTACCAAAGTCTATGATGTGGTAAGTATAATAATATAGTATAATCCACTTGTAGTAATATAGTATAATCCACTTGTAGTAATATAGTATAACATACTGTGTATCTTTCCTTATTTTAGGGATCTTCATTGTGTTAGCTGTTAGCTGTAAATACCTTTTTATCTTTCTCTCTCTTTTTTTTTTTTTTCTTTTGTTAGCTCAATTGGCCGAAGCACTCAGAGGTGTCATTTTGCCCAGGGATCTCTGTCACAAATTTCTGCTGCTGGCAGAGGCAAATACAGTAAGAGGAATAGAGACATGTGGAATTCTCTGTGGAAAACTGGTACAGTTTAACCCTCACATTTGTATGGGGGAGACATACTTGATGGTGCTGTAATCTCCTGTGATGTATTGATTTCAGAGCAAAAGCAGACATAAATGGTTAGCCTTCCATGTAATGAATTCATATTATAACCTGAGTGGTCATTTCAGCACTGTGGGCTTATTTTATTGGGGAAACATCTGCTCAAAGTACCCTGCTATTGTTGTAAAGCCTAGCAAGTCTTTCAGTATGCTGTACAATGCAGGCTTTTTCGAGTACTTTCTCTGGCATTCATCTAAGGTAAGTGAGGTTTAGTTACAGGACAATGAAATATAAAGACTGATGGAATCCACTGGAGTCATCAAATTAATAATGGCAGAACAGAGCAGAAATCTCCCCATCAGGCTGTAGAACATCTGATTTTTTTTTCTCTTTGACCTAGATAACATTTAATGTCCTTTGAGAGCAGGGAAAGATGTCATGGCTGATGCTGACACAAAGAATTTTAAAGATGATCCCAAGTGTATTTGAACTGCGTGAAGGGAAAGAACAGCAGTATTAGTCTTGGTCCGAGTTTCACAAAAAATCATGATAGTTTTCTCAAAGCTCTTTTATGTGTTTTAATTATTTTAAAGGACAGACTTTTCACACTGATCTCTGAGAATAGATCAATACAGCAGTCTTGTGTTGTGACTAATACTATCCTGTTGTGACTAATACTACCCTGTATGCTTTCATGATAAAATGCTAAGGCATATTTTTAGGTACAGTATGTTGGTGAGCTGCACTGCAATCAGTGGAGCTGTACTGCTTTGTTTTAGCTGATAGGCTGACGTCTTTCAGATTTTGATGCAGCATTTATTCCTTAGGCATTCTGTTCCACCCTAAGTCAATGTTTGTTTTGCAGACTCATAATGAATTTACTATTACACATGTAATAGTGCCAAAGCAAACTGCAGGACCAGACTACTGTGACATGGAGAACGTGGAAGAATTATTTGGTATTCAGGATCAGTATGATCTCCTCACTTTGGGTTGGATCCATGTACGTATGACTCATAGATTCTGCTTTTCCTATATTGGCTCTACGTACTATATGGGAAAAAACCACAAATAAACCAAAGAAACAAATTTGCTTACTGAATTCAAATTGTAGTGACATAAATAAGCACTCATGTTCTCTACAGAGAACTCCTTAATGCAATTGAGCCATCCTGTTGACAAAATGGGCCTACTTTTGCTGGTGAAACTTTATTTATGTTGATTTAGGGTTATTTTATTACTTTCTAGTGCCATATTCAAAAGTCAGGGAGGGGTATACTGTGTTGTTTAAACTTTATATTAATTTTTCTCTTAGGGATTTTGGACAATTAAGTAATTTCCATTTGTCTTGTGCTTCTTCATTCCACCTTTTCTCCCGCATGATCAGAAAATTGCTTGTATATCTGATTGTGAACATGCCTCCATGAATCTCATCCTGAAAAGCCTTCTTTTCTCCAGCTTGAACAATGTAGAACAATATAGACCCTGGGCTAAGAAGAACTTTAGAAACCAGCCTGGGGAAGTACTGATGCTTTCACTTGTAACAAATTATTTTTCCTTCTTATGTTGACCTTGACCTGTAAGAAATATTCATGATGTTGAGTTTTGCCTTTCTTTTTTGTAGACACATCCAACACAAACTGCATTCTTATCCAGTGTTGATCTTCATACTCATTGCTCTTATCAGCTAATGTTGCCAGAGGCCATTGCAATTGTTTGTTCACCAAAGCATAATGAGTAAGTTCAGATTTTTAAAGTAATTTTTTTTGTATTTTTCCCTGCTTGTCCTAGAATCTGATCAAATGCAAAGGCTACATGTCAACTCAGATGAAGGGCATGAACATTGTGTTGTGACTTTGTCTTCTATAAGTTGCCTAGACTTCCATTTCAGTCAGTCTCTGTGCACAGCATTGTTTCTGGCTTCTCTCTCCTCCCTTCACAGACCCAGGTTTTAAATTTTATTTTTTTATATATTCTGCTCAACAAAGTAATAATTAAAGGAGCTCTTCTTCTGGAGTACTCATTGCCAGTGCCCTACCACACATCTGTCTTCATTCTGTCTGCTTAAGAATGTGGAGGGAAGTTAGGATTTTTTTCTCTAGAATGATATGAAAATTGCAGTTTGCAAAGCAGAAGGGTAAAAGTCATTTTTTTATACTAAAGATCTATTTCTGTATTTTGTAAGTTACAAACTATGTATCTGGAAAAATCTAGAATAGTGCAAATATTAATGTGAAGATTTGTAATGGAACAGCTTTCCCAGAGTTGTCATGAAGTCCACATCCATGGAGATAAGCAAAACCTGACTGAACATGGTCCTGGCAACCGCTCAAGGTGATTCTGCCAGAGCAGGGGGACTGGATCAGACAGGCTTCAGAAGTTCCTTCCAAGCTCAACAAATTTGTGATTCTCCTTTGGTGTGCCTGGCATTTCAGGTTGCCAGGGCTAACTCCATTGTTTAGAGTGTGCATTTCTTCAGCCTTTCCTTCTGGCCTTCTGCCTCACTAGAGTGAATCCTGCCCTGTTGCCTAATTTCCTAAATGGGCCCTTCACACAGATTGAGAGGCAAGGGCACAAGCACTAGCATCTCTAACCCTGAGCATGCCTGCATACCTTTCCAAATTTCTGCTCTTACAAGCCTCTCTGCCAGTTGATGCTGATACTCTGTAACCAACTCTAACCTGTAGTTAATAGGTCCTCTTTACACAAGGATGGCTTTGTAATGTTTTATTCAATACCTAAAGAATTGCAGCAGTGCATTTTCTAATGCTTTGTGTTACCCGATTAACTAAAAGATTGGGGAGGATGTACTCCTACTAGTCATTTACACAGCTGGTTTAAATGCTGTTATCTTTTAAGTTGCCCTGAGTGAAATGCAATCCAGAACACATAAGTTTCTGGTTTGCATCTGTTCCTGTGTGAACCAGCCTTATCCCTCAGTGGCCTAACCTGCCTAACAGGAACAGCACCAGTACTGTGATCCTTTTTCTCCCCTTCCCCTCATCATCTCTTGCTTTACACAATACAACTCCCCTTGATTTAAAATACCTTTAAAAGCCCAGCTCTGCTGGGGCTCCTATGTGTTGGTCACCAAACACTTTTCTGTTGTCCTCCTTTTAAGCTAAGCAATTTGTATGGATGTGTTCTATGGGAACAGTGTGTAACAGGAGTTTCCTGTTCTGCTTTTCAGCACTGGCATCTTCAGACTGACTAATGCTGGCATGCTAGAAGTTTCTGCTTGTAAAAAGAAGGGATTTCATCCACATACAAAGGACCCTAGGTTATTTAATGTAAGTATATAATTCAATACAGTTTTTTTTACTATTCAAACTCCTGACCACAGTTCTGCTGCAAACAGAAACTTGAGATTTCTTAATAATTTTCCCCATTTTACTAATTCATTACCCTCAGTTCACTGACCAAGGTAGACAGCAGGAGACTACTTCAGCAGTCATTAGCAGCCATGAGGTGAGTGTTAGAAGCTGCCATTCAATGGTGGTTAACCAGAGGTAGTTACTATCATTCACCACTTTCAAAAGGAGAAAGAAATACATCTTCAAATGGGAGTTAGTCTTGAGTTCTTCAGTGTTTAAGCAATTAATCAATTAATCTCTCCAATTTTAGTGCCCCAACAAAACATTCCAGCTGCTTTAAATTGCAGCTATAAGTAGGTTAAGTCCTATTTCCTTCATTGGCAAAAGTTTGCCTTGGCTTCTCTAAGCATTCCTCTGTAACTGCTGTATCTTTTGATGTTTCAATAGCACAATGATGTATGTATGGCTGAGCAGTACAGTCAGTCAGAATGGTCTTCCAGCTAACACTGGCATTTCTGATAAGAGCCTTTACCTTTGAATATTGAAAGGTTTGGGTTTTTTCAATGGGGTTCTCTTCAAATACAGAAGCATCTCCTATAGTTAAAATAAAATGATCCAATACAGAGAAGTCATGCTGAGAGACATTGGAAGCAACTGTGTTGTCAGGCTCTCTGAATGTCAGCATTAATCCTCAAAAGGAGAGGTCAGAGTTTTTTGTTTTGTTCTGTTCTTTCATCATTGAGTGCAGGGATAATGAGAAGGTAGTCCAACTCTGAAAAAAATCAAGATTTTTTTGTTCCAAGTAGGCTCTTTTCAGTGGTCTTTTACAGGTGTAGTTCATGGATGAAGTTACTGGGTATTTTACTGAGATTTCTGAGAGTAATGGGTTGACTTCTTCTGCAGCCATGTACCCATGTGGTTGGGAAAGACATAAAGATAATCGTGCTGGATCTGAGGTGATACGGATGAACCACATCAATGTACTCTACAAAAGGCCAAAAGAAAAAAAATGGATTCCTGTTTTTTCCTACATTTTCAGAAATTACTTTTATATTTATACATTTTAGATTGAATTGTTTGATATTTATTGCTTTAGCCTGTTTTGGAGTTATTTTGTTGCTCTGTCAAGATGGAGTTCAGTGGCATTAACCCTAAATCTGTAAACAAATCTCACCCATAGAACACAACAATAAAATGAACTTCAAACTGCAGTAACTGTGTTGAAATAAGTAGTGGTTCTTCTGTCACTTTTTTCCATTGACTGCCTTCTGAGAATTAGGTATTTTTAGCAGTGTTTTTTTGTGACTTTCAGCTATGTACATCTCTTAGAGCTTCAGTAAATTTAAGTTATACGTAGTAGACACAAATCAATCAGTTTAGGTGATTTTTTTTCCCGTCTTTTTCTCCTGTACAACTTCTATAGCTCAAGTTTCATCTGTTAAGCAGAAGATACTTAGAAATATCCAAATCCTTTACCTGAGAGCTGATCCTCACCATTTTGGGATAGCAGGGATGCACAGAGTCCCTTGGAGAATGTGTCTTCTCCACCAACCTGCCAGTAGAGACTTTAAACTGAAAGACACTTCTTATCCTGAAAAGGATTTTCTCAATCTATCTAGAGTTAGATAAAAAGATCTAGACAGAGTTAGAAGGAAGAACCATACCAAGTTGTTTGCTTTTACAAGAGTTTATTTAGTCACTGTTCCAAGAACCTAGATGACTTATGCTTTAAATAATAAGGTTAGTACAAAGAGGTTTGCAACATGTGCTAACAGTCAGGAGCTGGACAAGATTTGGAACCCCAGGGTTATGAAGACATGGCAAATAACAGGTGCTGTTGCAAAGAGCTTACAGTTTGAAAGGTAACAAGTAACAGACAAGTGAGGTAAACTATTGAGTTGAGAGAGGAAAATAGGTTAATGAAAATAAATAGCATCCTTTATCCTAGACTCTAATGAAAATAGATTGCAGCAAGTTCCTTAGAAGTGACCTTTTCCAGGCCTGTCTCAGTTAATTCTTTATTCATATATATATTCTTCTAAGACAGTATTACTGGCTTCAGCTTCTAAGCATATACTTCTAGCTGATGTGTTGAAGATTATAAATGGAATCATAAAAATCACAGGAAAATAAAATTGTCTAAATTACTTTAGCTGCTTTGAACACATTATTCCCCCCCCCATTTAAAAAAAAAGTTCTGAAGAAAAAGTATATTAAGCCAGCTTAATTATCCTTTATATCTTGCTAGAAAACACAAAATAAAAATAATAGGCTGCACTCATCCTGAGGGCATACAATAGGAAAGTCATATGTTTGACCTAGTGTTTAGATATGCTCCCAAAGGAAAAGGTTTTTTTTCTTTAAAGAAAACACAGGATTGTTGGGGTACATATCATACACCCCTGGGCCATACACTGTGAGAAATTAGCTTTTCCATCATGACAGCTGTGAAGTAAGAAGTGATGTGGATAGATAATATTTCTGGATAGAGCAGATACAAAGCAGCATGCCCATGCTCATCCTGATATTGAACAGATGCTGTGCTCCTTTGGTACTGCCTAGAACTTTGTAAGAACCACGACTGGTTCTGTCTGCACATTAAAAAGTTTTCTGAGGCTAAACTTTGAGAACATGCAGCCTGACAGGTGAGCATCTTCTGGCATTGGTATCATCGAGCTAAAGGTACCACCATTTCTGTTAAGCCCAGTAGAGTGTAATAATAAATTCATGTCACAAGATGGAGCTTCAAGCCAGCAGTAATGGCATCTCCGCACACTCACGGCGTGGCTTTTGCTTTTGTTTTAAATAGGAGCAGCAATTTCATAGCATATTTAAAATTTATTTTAAGAACTACACAGTATCCAATTAATTAGATTAATTATGATGAAGGATTTATGGAATGAAATTATAAGAATGTACTTTCCTGAATACATTCACACTAAGGAGACATATAAAGAAAAAGCAATTTAAAAGCATTTGCGGTGAACAATGGATGGGCCAGCTTCATCATATTCCTGTTTGCTGATCCACATCTGCTGGAAAGTAGAGAGGGAAGCAAGAATAGAGCCTCCAATCCAGACCGAGTACTTGCGTTCAGGAGGAGCAATGATCTGTTTAAGAAATAAAACATTAAGTACAACTGTCTACTATGAATACAATACATTTTTATACAAAAATACTAAAGCAGTGATCTGTGATATTAAGAAAAACACTGCATCTATGTGCTAGTGCTATCCATTGCTGCAAGCAGGAAAGTTTAGAATTTGTTTTATAAATCTGTACCCTCAAATCCTCTGCCTAACTCAGCCTCCTCAGTGACCCCTATCCCTGGTGCACTCTTGTACTCCTGAGCATATATGAGAAAAGGGGAGATAATTGTTCTGGAAACACATAATGACAGTTCAGGTGGGCTTGAAAAAATCAATGACCTATGGAGCACTCCCTTTGGTATAGCTGATAAAATGTTTGTAAAGCAAAGAACAGAAGATTTGAAGCAGCAGAACAAAGATTAGCTTGTCACGGTGTCTTTCAAACATGTAAGCCAAAGACAAAAACAACATTTCCTCTCTTCCATGTCTATCAGGCTAGAAAGGCTGAAGAAGCTCACATACACCCCAGAGGAAAATTTATGCTTCTGGGTTCATGCTGTTCTTTGGCCACTTAGGACATTTGCTCAAAATCAACATGAACAAGGAAATGAGAGAAGGCTCTCTTCTTCCAGCTCCAAAGTTACCAGTTGGTGATTATTTGCTAAGTAATCCAGATGTAAGTCAAAATATGTTAAAATCACTTACTTTGTAAAGTGTTGCATGTTTCACTAGATCTAAATGCCAGCTCATATAGTCTACAAGTGATTGCACCATACATACCTTGATCTTCATGGTGCTAGGAGCCAGAGCAGTGATTTCCTTCTGCATCCTGTCTGCAATACCCGGGTACATGGTGGTGCCTCCAGACAGCACGTTGTTGGCATAAAGATCCTTTCTGATGTCTATGTCACATTTCATGATGCTGTTGTAAGTGGTTTCATGAATGCCAGCAGACTCCATGCCTGGGGAAGGTACAGAAGAACACTGAGGAAGCAACTCCATACAGACACTTAAAATTGTTAATGCAGAACTGACATGCTGTTTTTAATGACTCTTTGGATGACATCAGTCTCAGAGCTTTGGAAAACTGGAAAGTCATTTTGCCATTGCCTAAATTATTTGCTTAAGAAGTTCCTTGGTGTACAGCCCTCCTCTCCCTCTTATACACAACAACTCCTCCTGAAAAAGAAAGTTGGGATGTGGAATGGTAAAGTTTCCATTACACTTCTGCAGGCAATCTCAATTGTCCCAAGAATTCCTTATATGGTCTTGGAATAATTTGGGATTTTTTTTTTCCTTTTTTTTTTCTTTTCAAATTAAGTCAACTCAGAGACAGAACAGTCACAATATGTCCTAAAACCTCTACGTATGCAACGCTTTATCTCCGAGTTGAAATTCTGCCTATTGGCAGAACTGACACTGGATTTCTATGTGACCTTTCTGTGTGACCTTGTTGCAAATCTGCCTTCGTGGATGTTGATTAGCATGGCATTGTCTTGGCTTTGCTCCGGATAGGCAATGAACTGTGGATTCAGGATTTGTAGCAGTCTTTTGGAAAAATAAAAGTAGGTCTTGCTGCCTAAATGCCCCTCCCACCTCTTCCCACTCCTGGCAAGCACATTCAAACATACAGAATGGCACAGGCACAATGCCAGAAGACAGGAATAAACATAGTGGCTTTATTTTGGGAAAGCATTTTGGCTAATTGTTTAATGTGAAGTTCTTCCCACCACATTAATAGACCTGTGATCTTCCCCCCCTCGCACAGCCCCCTAAATATCAGGCTAGCCCAGAGGTCCGAGGCTGGGAGGGGAAGAATATCAGGAGATGGCAAAGATTTCCAAAAGAGGCTGTTACCCCAATATATGTTGGTTCAGCTCTCTTTATTCTGTGATGTCCATGTGGAGAGCGGAGCAAAAGAGGACAAACAGGAAATGTCAGGGGTCTATACAGACTTTGGACAGGGTGGGCTTCCCTGGCTCTCCACCAACCCCATTGCGGCAGGAAGGAGGGGTTCAGGGTTATCTTGATCAGAGTCACAGGGTCCCGGGGACATGGGAAATTGAGTGCCCATGAGCTCACCGTAACAGACCTGTTCTAAAAGATTGTTTTATAATGGGTGCTAGGACACACTCTTGTGTATGTCTGGGTGAGTTAGTAATGGAGCACAAGCAGAAGAAAATTGGGACTTGGTATTTCTGTGTGGTTTACCAAGGCACAACAGTCACTGAACCTACCAATGAAAGATGGCTGGAAGAGGGTCTCTGGGCAGCGAAAGCGTTCATTTCCAATGGTGATCACCTGACCATCAGGAAGCTCATAGCTTTTTTCCAGAGAGGAGGAAGATGCAGCAGTGGCCATCTCATTTTCAAAGTCCAGGGCCACGTAACAGAGCTTTTCCTTAATGTCACGGACAATTTCACGCTCCGCTGTAAAAAGGATTCAATCTTTAAAATGGTATTCAGGAAGGACCCAGACCTGTTGACTGGTTGTTCCCTTTCATCCTCCAACACCCTCCCCATATTTTAAACAAATCCTCTGCTAGTCTTTCAAGGGACCTTCATGTTGGAGACCTTCTCATGCCTATTCAGCTGCAGAACCACTGACAGTTCTTCTGCGGCCAGGAGAACCAGTGCCCATGAACAACGCCCCTTCTCGGCCGGCAGCGTGTCCTTACCAGTGGTCACGAAGGAGTATCCCCGCTCCGTCAGGATTTTCATGAGGTAGTCGGTCAGGTCCCGGCCAGCCAGGTCCAGGCGCATGATGGCGTGTGGCAGGGCGTAGCCTTCATAGATCGGCACGTTGTGGGTGACACCGTCCCCAGAGTCAAGCACGATCCCTTTGAGGCAGTAACACACGGTTCATTCCCATCATCCCCACAGAACTACTTCAAACACCTATGCCATGTTCCCCTCAGGCTTACCTGTGGTACGTCCAGAGGCATAGAGGGACAGAACAGCTTGAATAGCTACATACATGGCTGGCACATTGAACGTCTCAAACATAATCTGAAATGCAATTTAAATAATTGTCTTTAGCACTAGAAGGTTTAGTTTAGTTGAAACAATATACTGAAAAAGAAGTAGAATACAAGATTTTCATATTTCTCTATGCTTGGTAAAAGCA